CATCCACATCCGCACTTTCGGCCACCACGTCATTCTCCGCATCGTCCCGACGGGTCAACAACCTGTTCTGTTTGGCGCAGCACGTCGTCCAATCCTCCTCCGACGAACGTGAGCTTCACTTGGCCGCTCCCGGCCGACCAGCGAACATCCGCATCCACGGGACGATGTACCGAAAAATCTTCACCGCTGCGGACGCCGCCCCGCTCCGGCACCTCATTGTCGACCCGCTGGAGCGCAAGAAGGCGGCTGCCACCCAGGACCTCCACTACAGCATCGTCAAACCCATCGAGACGTTCCTCCTGGCCAACAACGCCCACATGAAGCAACTCGTCCGCCTGTCCACGTTGCGGCGAGCCTCTGTGGACGCCGCCCTGGTCCTCGAATGGCACGACGACGTTCACGAAGTTGCCGGAACTGTCGACCTAAACCCGCCGCAGAACAAAAACTCCAGAAAGGTTATGTTCTACCGCCACCGCACCGGGCACCCGCAGTACTTGGACCCTTTGAGCCCCCTGTACGAGCCCCTGAGCTACCCCCTCTTCTTCCCCTACGGCGGCCGCGGGTGGAGCATTGACGCCACAACTACTTCGGGCAGCACGCCGACGCAAATGTGGTGGTACCGCCAACTCCTGATGAGAGCGCGACACATGCACCTCTGTGGGCGCCTGCTGAACGAATGGCGCATCAACATGCACTGCAGAATGGAGGACGCGCGCTTCAACGCCATGCGGAAGGATGCGGGTCAAATCCTGCACTTCCGGCGCCCACCTCGACCCTCTCCTCGCATGCCCTCCTCACTTCCCCCCCGTTCCTGCCGCCCCCCCTCCCTGCCTCTTCCTCACGCTCGCCTTCTCCCACATCCGCCGCTTCTCGCCTCTTCCTTTTTCCCCCGCCATCTCCCTCCCCTCCCCCCCCGCTTGGAACTCTTCCCTGCTCTCCCCCATTTTCTCCCTGTCCTGTTCGTCGTCGTCGCCGCCCCCGCGTCCTCCCCCCCCCCCCAATCCCAAGGAGCAGGCCAAATACGTCGCCAAGCGGACCGATTTGTGCGAGGTCCTCCGGAACTCCGCTGCCTCCACGAACACCGTCGCCAAGAAGTCCTTCCTGCCTTCCGCCGTCGTGGGCACCCCGCGATACCTTCGCCGGCAGCGCACGGACGCTCTGGAACTCGCCCGGCGCCTCGGGCCACCAACGTTTTTCATCACCGTCACGTGCAACCCGAACTGGCCAGAAATTGTTTCCAACCTACTCGACGGACAGACTGCTGCTGATCGCCCTGACCTTTCCGTTCGCGTTTTCCACGGTCGCCTCAATAAACTACTTCAATACCTTAAGAAGGACTGGGCTGGCGACCACGTCTACATCGCACAGGTTGTGGAGTACCAGAAACGCGGCCTGCCACATGCACACATCGCCCTTGCATTGCAAAATCCACCGAAAAACGCAGAGGAGGTCGACAAGTACGTGTCCTGCACTCTGCCTGCTGCGCCCGGCCCCCTGCGAGACGCCGTCCCGCGACAGATGGTGCATCGGTGCAGCCCAAAATTTCGCCCAGTCGACCCCGCCCAGGACTGCGTGCGCGGCTGTCCGTGGCCATTATGCGACGAAACCACCTTCGACCGGCGTGGCTACCCCACCCTCAAGCGCCCCCCCTGCGGCGGCCATTGCCCTGACTGCTCGGCCCCGCGCGGTGCTGGCGGGAAATCCAAGGTGTGCCTCAACAGGTATATCGTTGAGTACAACGAAGATCTCTTGCTCAACTGGGACGGCCACTGCAACGTCAAGTTCGCGGCCTCCGTGGAACTCTTCGAGTACCTGTACAAGTATATGTTCAAGGGCCCTGACAAAGCCAACTACGACGTCACCTTCGACGACAAAGTCCTCGACGAAATCACAGAATGGCAGCGGGGCCGGTACCTTTGTGCAACGGAGTGCGCGTGGCGACTCTTTGGGTACCGAACATACTACAGGCACCCCGACGCCATCTGCTTGCCCGTCCACCTGAAAGGCGGCGACTGGGTGCACTTCGACGACGGCAACGCCGAGCTGGCTCTCTCCACCACTGTGTCCGCTGTGGATCGCTATTTCTACAGGCCGCGCACCGACCCCTTCAACAGCTTCACCTACTCCGAGTACTACGAGAAATGCATGGTATCCAAAACGTGCCCAGCATGGTGCCGCCCCTACTTCACCTCCTCGTCCAGCGGCCCGCCCCCCAACGCCCGAGCTGGCCGCCCGCTTCCACTTCTGCCGACGCAAAATTCGGCCCCTCCTGACCTTCGACAGTACGTCTACCCGCGCACTGGGGACCGCCCGTTCTGCCGCCTGGAGATGAAGTTCCCAAACCAGAAGGAAGTCTTCTACCTGCGACACATCCTCCTGCACTACCCCAAGCTTTCCTTCGAGGACTGCAATCGGCACGGCGCCAAGACGTACAACGCTTACGAGGACCCTCGGACAGAACACGTTCCCTCCCCCCCCCCGCCCCGCCCTCCCAGGACCGCCGCCTCCAGGGCCAGCGCCGGCCCCACCCCCTCACCCACACATACGCAACGTACTCCTATCCTTTCATCTCCTTCTCACACCCCTCTCCCCTCCCCCCTGCAGGAAGTGATGCACGCGACGGGCCTCTTCGCCGCCGCCGACGAGGCGTCTCATGTGCTCACAGAGATGGTCGGCTTGCGATACACGGCTGCGCAACTGCGCTTCGCCTTCGCCCTCTTGCTGGAGCTCGAAGCCGCGCCCGTCAGACTCTACACCGCCTTCGAGAAAGACATGATGCGAGACTACCTCCACGCTGGCCTCTCCACCACGACAGCGCAGACACGTCTGAAGGATGACCTTCGCACGGCTTGGGTGCACAGCGGCCATTCCGACAACGACTGGCCTTTGGGCGGCGTCTGCAAGCTCGAGAGGCAGAGCGCCGCGCCGGCCCGCACAGACGACACCTCCACGCCTGATTCCTTCAAGCGCCGCGTCCTCCACGACGCCAACCAACGGACAGTCTTCCGGCACGTCGACATGTGCCTCCAAGGTCGCCCCTGCTTCCTCCCCGACTCCTACACAGCACGCCCGTGGAATCGTGCTTCCTCCAGAACCTCCCCCAGAAACTTTCCGCCATCCCCCTCCCCCACTTCCCCGCTCGCCCATCCCATTCGCCGTCTCCCACCCTCTCCCTCCTCTTTCCCGAAACACGATTCCGCGGGTCCGCGGAAGCAGGGTCGTCATTTAAAAGCACGGGAGGCACTCGCACGGCTTTCGCGTTTGTCGAGGGCCGCTCCGGCACCGGCAAGTCCACTTTAGCGTCCGCCCTCCACTACCACGGCGAGTCCCTGTCCAAGGCAGTGATCAACGTGGCTACCACCGGTCCTGCTGCACCCCTCCTCCGCCCTCCCTTTCAGGCCTCACGCCCCCCACCTCCTCCTCATCCTCCCGCGATGGCCCCTGCCCCCTTCGCCCCCCCTCAGGTTTGGCAGCCTTGCAGCTCCCGTGCGGCGCCACGGCACACTCCACATTCGGCCTCCCCGTCACTGACGAGCCGAAGTTCTCCTCTACATTGGGGCTTCGCTCTGCCGCCGCGGCGCGCATCGCGCGAGCTTCTCTCATCCAGTGGGACGAGTGGCCCGCGCGCAAACGGTCGTGCTGGGAAGCCGTCCTCGATCTCTGCGCCACCCTGAAGGGAAGCTACGGCCCCGAGTACGTGCCCAAAACGTTTGTGTGCTACGGCGACTTCCGCCAGATACCACCCGTCGTGCCTGGAGGTTCTCGCGACACGATTGTGGAGACGAGCGTCCACCGGTCGCAGTCATGGTCGTCTTTCTCGGTGTTCCACCTCCCGACTCTGCACAGGCAGGCGCTGGACCCAGCCTACGGCAACTGGGTAAACGAAGTCGGTGCTGGAACGCTGTCGGCTCCTCGCTCCGTCGCCGGCGTGCGCGGCTTCGCGGAACTCTCTCTGTGCGACACCGTCTACACGGAAAATGATGCCATGGCTTTCGCTTTCCCCCACATCGCCGACGCCGCCCACTGCGCGACCCGTCGCATCCTCACCGCCACGAACGCCATGGTGGACGTTTTCAACGACGCTATCCTGCGGATGTTGTCCACCACTTACCAGTTGCCTTCCTTCCACCGGTTCAGCAGCGACTCCTTGGACATGGACGCGCCAGAAAGCTCTCCGCTGCAGATATCTGCCGAGTTCCTACACAACCAGACCCACCATGGAGCTCCTCCGCACGACCTCAATTTAGTGGTGGGCGCTCTGTACGAATTGATGCGGAACTTCAGCCCCAAAGACCGCCTCATGAACCACACCCCAGTGATCCTTCAAGCGGTGCACGAGCACCACGTCGTCATCCGCACGCTGAGTGGCGAGACTGTCCCCCTGCCGCGCATTGTCTTCCGCTGGCCGCTGGCCCACGGGACTTCCACCATGACTCGTCGGCAGTGCCCCTTGAGGGCCGCGCATGCCACTACTTTCAACGGCTCCCAAGGATGCACCCTTGACGCCTGCGTCGTGGACGTTCGCATCTCGCCATTCTCTCACGGCCACCTGTACGTAGCTCTTTCACGGATCCGCTGCCGAACGTGCGTGCGGATCCTCACTTCCGTGGAGCGCCAGACCGCCCGCCACCGCGCTCTGGCCCGAAATATAGTCTGGCCGGAGCTCCTCTTGCCTACGACCCAGAACGCGCCCAAGAAACGAAAGGCACAGCCAGCCCGCAGACAGCCGGCGGCTCCGTCTCGCGCGCAGCCGGCCCGCAAACGGCCGGCGGGAACGCCCCGCTGATTCTCACTCATGCTAGGCCGCGCCGCCAGCCGAATTTGCTGACTACACGCCTTGCCTCCGAAAAAAAGCCCTTGGCCGTGGACTGCTGCTGCTCCTCCTCCTCCTCCTCCACGTGCCTCACCCCCCCCCCCTGCCGACGTCCCCGCCCGGCGCACTACACCATGACATTACTACGCCATGACATTATAGTTCCGCCCCATAAAGAGCACGCGATCCCCGCTCGCCACTCCCAGACGCCCACAGGTCCACCAGCGCGGCGGTGGGCCTCCGGCGGCCGAGGGCCCACCGAGAGCGCCGGGGGCCCCGTCTTTCTCGGGGTTCCCAGGTCCCCCGCGATAGGGCGCGGAGGCGATCGCGCAGGGGCTCGAGCGGGACGGTGCCGTGGCGAGGAGGAGGAGGAGGAGGAGGAGGAGGAGGAGGAGGAGGAGGAGGAGGAGGAGGTGGAGGGCCGCTCTCGCGTCTTGATCTCGGCCTCGGCAAGAGAGACAGAGCAGTCGGGGGTGGACAGAGCCCCCAGCAGTGGCACGTCGATGAGCGGATGGTCCGTTTTCGGTTCTCGAGAGGGCGCCGTGGCCGTGAACTTATTTTCCAGGCTTGCGCCCGCCAGGTTTGGGCCTCAGGTCGTTTTCACTAAGCCACGTTTTACTAAAGGGGGGTCTGTCCATCCCCGAGACAGAGGCAGAGCGAAGAGCAGCGGGAACAGCACGAGAGCGAACAGCGCGAGAGCGAGCAGCACGAGGGCGAGCAGCTCGAGAGCGAACCGCAGGCGAGCGAGATCGCTCCTCGCGCGCTGCGGCCCCTGGCCGAAGAGCCGCCCCTCATCCAAGGGGGTCCCGCGCCGAGCGCGCGGAGGGAGGGCCCGCGGGCGCGGGGCGCAGAGACGGACGGTCGGGAGTTTCCTTGGCTTTCAGTCGGGCCTGCCCCGTCTCCCTCCTCTCCTCCTCCTCCGCCTCCTCCTCCTCCTCTCCTCCTTCCTCCTCCTCCTCCATGCCTCCTCCTCCTCCACCTCCTCCTCCTATTCCTCCCCTCCCTCCTCCTCCTCTCCTTCTCCCTCTCTCCTCTCTCCCTCCTCCTCCTCCTCCTCCTCCTCCTCCTCCCTCTCCTCCTCCTCCTCCTCCTCCGACTCCACCCGACCCCGACCCGACTCCTTCTCCTCCTCCTCCTCCTCCTCCTCCTCCTCCTCCTCCTCCTCCTCCTCCTCCCTCCTCCTCCTCCCGTGGCCGCCGAGCCGCCCCCTCTGCTCCAAGGGGGTCCCGCGCCGAGCGCGCGGAGGGAGGGCCGCGGGGCGCGGGGCGCAGAGACGGACGGTCGGGAGTTTCCTTGGCTTTCAGTCGGGCCTGCCCCTCTCCTCCTCCTCCTCCTCTTCCTCCTCCTCCTCCTCCTCCTCCTACCTCCTCCTCCTCCTCATGCCTCCTCCACCTCCTCCTCCCCCTATTCCTCCCCCTCCTCCTCCTCCTCCTCCTCCTCCTCCTTTTTCCTCTCTTTCCTCCTCCTCCTTCCTCCTCCTCTCCTCCTTCCTCCTCCTCCTCCTCCTCCTCCTCCTCCTCCTCCGACCCCCCGACTCCTCCTCCTCCTCCTCCTCCTCCTCCTCCTCCTCCTCCTCCTCCCGGTGCCGCCACGATGATGGCGGAGAAAATACACATGCGACAGCGAAGGCAGCTACGACCACCTGCCCATCCAGAGCCGATGCCCTCCAGTACATCGGGAGACAAACTGCGGAGTTTGGATCCTCAAAAGGACGCAGGCGACCAAGCCGCGACAACCCTTCGTGACTCTTCCAGGCCCCCCCCCGGGGACCGGCTTTGAGGGAAAGGGTGTCCCCAGTGAGAGCGCCAGTGTGGAACTCCGTCCCCGATTTATGTGATCTCTCCAGAAACGGCGCCGAAGCCCTTCTGGGTTCCTCAAAGCTTTTCCCCCAGGACCGGTTTTGAGAGGATGTCCCAAGCGAGAGTGCCAGTTTAGAACTCGGCGCTGGATCTCTCCGGAACTCTCCGGGAAAGGTAGGCTCCTCTGACCCTCTCCCCCAGGGCCGGTCTTCGGAGGATCCCCTTGCGAGGGCGCCGGTTTGGAACTCGGCGCCGAAGCTCGCGGCTCTCTATCTCCAAAGACGGTGCCGGAGGTCCGTCTCCTCCTGCCCCCCCCCCCGAACCCAGTTTTGAAAGGATGCCCCAAACGAGGGGCCCAGCGTGGAACTCGCCGCCAGATCTCTCCAGGTCTCCGGATCTCTCCGGAAACGGTGCCACAAATCCCTCTGGATGCCTGTGCTCCTTACGCGCCGGGGGTGAAAACGACGTGAGTTCAACCGAAATCCTTCCACAGCATCTGGCACTCACGCGCCACAGGCCGCCTTTCCAGGAGCTGTTGAAGCATCGGAGATCCGGATGCTCCTCTAACTTCCTCTTCTCCCTGTCTCCCCATTCCGCTTCCCTCTCTTCCCTGTCCCTCCCGTTCTGGCCTTTTCGGCTCCAGCTCCGCTCTTCGCAGCGCTCCCTGCCCTTTACGCCCGAGCGCGCGGCAAAGTCCTACCCTCGCTACGCACATGGCGCGCGGCCGTGCGGCTCCGGCCTCTCGCGGCGCCAAGAAGACGCTGAAGAAGGGCGCTCTCTCCCAGAACCCGCGGCTGCCGCCGCGCCCGAAGGCTCGACACGCAGAGAACAAGTTCAAGGGCCAACCTCCCCCCGCCCACCTTTGTCCCCGTAATGACCACGCGGAGCGCCGCGCCCGAGACCTCGAACACGTTCTCTGCGCCGTCCGAAGGAGGGCTTCGGCGCCGCGGCCGCGTCGGAGTCCAGCCACCGGGCCTTCACGACGACGTACACCGTGGTGTGCGTGGTGGAGAAGGTGGACCTTGGGGAGGACCGCGACGGGGCTTGCCGGGTCAGCCTCGTGGACAGCGCGGCCTTGAGCCGCTCTACAGCAGGAGCGACTCACCCTTTTGCCACTCTGACCGCGAAGGCGGTGGCGCAGTACTCAGACAAGCTCCCGAAGCCGCCCAAGGGCGTCTCCCTCGACATCCAAACGCCTGCCGGCCTTCCGCACATGCCCCCCCGCGTTGGCGCGAGCGCCCCCCGCGCGAACCGCCGAGGGGGTGTCCCCGCCAGACGCGCTGACAGGCGCGACCGCGCGCTCTCGCGCACGTCCCCCCGTAGCCTCTGCTTCGCGCCCCGGACTCCCGCATGACGTGGGATCGCGGTCCCTGGGCCTCTTGCCGCCGAACACCAGCGCCCTCCGCAACCCCGCCGCTGGCCTCAGCACGCCGCCCAGTGGCCCCTGCTCGCAACGTCCTTCTTTCCCTTCCCCCTCCCCCTTCTCCTCCTCGTCGCCCTCCTCCTCCTCCTCCTCCTCCTCCTGCTCCTCCCCCTCGTCCTCCTCCTCCTCCTCCTCCTCCTCCCCCTGCTCCCCCCCGAGCCCTTTGCATTGTGCGGAACTCTTCCTGTCCCCTGATTCAACCTCACAACCCGTAGTAAGGGCGCGCTACGTCATCAATGGCACCCAGGCATCCTTGCTTCTGCCGCCAATCGTCGGCCACTTTCGACGTCCATGGGCGTCCAGAGTGGAAGGCCCGAGGGCCTTGCATCCTCGCTGTTTGTCCTTCCCATCGACACGGATTGTGCCTGCCCCCTGACGCCAGGCCACCTGGGCCCTTTATCGGGGCCCCCTCACCCATTGCGCCTCCGGCAGCTGAGGCTGGGCCTTCGTCGGTCTCCTCGTGGCTGATACCCGCGGCGCAAAGAAGCTGGTCGACAAGCACGGGGCCCTTCTCTTGAGGTCGGTGCTCGAGCACGGCTTCTGGAACGCGGCCTTCGACGTGCCCCCAACCAACGGGGGGTCCGGGTGGAAGGTGCAGAGCGAGGTGGGCGCCGCGCGTGTCATCCCAACGCTTTCGCGGTTCCGCCCATGGACCCCCAGACACATGCCCCTCGAGGCGCATGCAAGGCAGCGGCCCCGGGCGCCTTCATTGTCAGCCGCCCCCTCACCGGGAAACCACCTCAGATGTCCACCATCGCTCGCTCTTCCCCTGCGGAAGCGGCGTCTCTTGCACAGGACTGGCACGAAGCGCAACGGCGAGGCTTTCAAGGCATTCTCGCTATCCTCTTCCCTCCCCTGCCCGGCCTTCACAGGCCCCCTCGGCCGCGGCATGCCCGGCCCCCGCACCTATCCCAGGCGACGGACATGTGCAACTTCCGGGTGCGCTCGGCTGCGAACCTTTCGAGGGACGCGAAGTCCGCGTTCGTGCTCTGGGCGAAGGCTGGTGCGGCACACCGATCGAGCACGCCCTGTGCCGCGCGGCGTCTCCGACCCCCCCTGCGTCGACGACGACGCCGCCGACGACGACGACGACGACGACGACGACGACGACGACGACGACGAGGCGACGACGACTACGACGGGGCGACGACGGCGACGACGAATGCGGCGGGAACGACGGCGACGACGACGACCACGATAACATGGACGACGACGTCGTCGTCGCTACCTGTCGTCAATCGTCGTCGTCTGGCTCCTCCTGCCCTCTCCGGAGACGCCCCGCGCACGGGTCGCGCTTCTGCGATGGGTCTGCCCCCTATTGAGGACAAACCTCAGATTGTGGTCGAGACTATGGAGCCCGGCTCTGCTTGGGCCGACCCGGCCGCGGAGACGGAAGCGCCCGGGGTGGCGCGGAAGCGCCCGGCGGCGCGCTCGTGAAGCGCCGCGCGCCCGCTTTTGCGTAGCCGGCGGCCCTCCCTGCATGCTGCGATGCCGCGGGAACCCGCGCCCCGAGCTTTCCTTGAGAATTCAGCATCACCGGTTTTTTAACACGCCACCGCGCAAGCCGCATTAGCTCGAGCCGCAGCCCGGACGCCGGGGACGCCCGATTTTTTGAAACCACCAGCGCCACGGACGCCAGCCTTCCGCGCGCCGCTGCTCCAAGCGCGCCGCTGCTCGAAGACGCCCTGCTTTTGCAACGCTGAAAAGCCATCCATCCATCCTCATCTCTCTTCCTTTCTCTCTCTCTCTCTCTCTCTCTCTCCCCTTCTCTCGCTCTCTCTCTCTCTCTCTCTTTCTCTCGCTGGGGAGGAGGAGGAGGAGGGCAGGGCTTCGATGCTCTCCCGAAGCTGCTCCCGGAGGGCGATCGCCGCCTGCGTCCGGCGGCGGCCCCTGCGCCCCCGCGTCGACGCCCGCGCGCGGGGGCGCGCCCGGGCCCGACCTCCGGCCAGGCCGCTCCGGGGATGCGACACTTAGAGGGAGGTTCGGGCCGGGCGAAAGGGGGGGATTGGGAAAGGGGGGGGTTCGAAATCAGCTGCATGCAGCTGGTTTCGGCCTCATGTGCACCGAAGGGCGCATTCCTCGATACATGGCCGCCTCTGGGCGCCAGGAGGCGCCGAGAAAATCAGCTACGTGAGCCGATTCTCAACCCCCCCTTTGCTATCCCCCCCTTTCGCCCGACCTGAGAGGTACGGTCGGGAACGTTTGGTCGGCAACGCGCAGAGGTGGGTATGGGGCAGGGGGGGGGCTCCTTAGAAGCACCCCCCCGCTTCTCAGAAGGCGCGGGCCTTCTCTGTAGACGCAGGGCCGAGGCCTTCTAAGAAGCAGGGTGCTTTTAAGAAGCCCTCCCCTCTCCCCCTACCCTTTTTTCCGCGCCGCCAATTTGGATAGCGTGCCGCTCCGGCAGATCTGGCCCACCACGCCGCGGCGCGACCTGCTATCCACTTCGCGGTCCCCAGGCGTGCACGTGCCGAGCCTTCCTGAGCATCTTGCCCCACGGAGAGGAGCGGCACGCTATATATGCGCCTGCACGGCATAGCGTGTCGCGGCGGCGGCGAACACCACAGGGAACCCTTAGGTCGGTCTAGCGTGAAAAAGAGGAGGAGGGAGAGGAGGAGGAGGAGGAGGAGGAGGAGGAGGAGGAGGAGGAGGAGGGG